AAAAAAAAAAAAAAAAAAAAAAAAAAAAAAAAAAAAAAAAAAAAAAAAAACATAAGTACCCAATACCATAGAATTGAGCCCACCCACCCTAATCATCATCATCATCATGAAATCCGGATTTATTTCACTTCTTGAAGCTGCCTCTCACACCCGGTTTGGGCTTAGACGCCTCAGCAGCAACACGAACAGCATGGAGATTTACAACCTTGTCTTCCTCATAAGGGATTTTGGGATGCTTCGACTCGTGATGAATCTGCATAGTTTTAACATCAGGCGCTGTAATCTTACAGTGTGGGCACTCGAACTTCGCGTGACCACCTTTTTCTTGGCCGGACCGGTCTGCAAGCCCGGCCTTTCCGCCACCTCTGTTGGTGGTAGCTGCGTCGATCTTCGCCTGGATCTCTTTTGCCGTGTGCTTCTTCGGCTTCGCCTTACCCGTCATGGCTGATCGATTGTTCCTGTTTTTTCCTTTTTTTTCCTCCCTTTCTGGGTAAAGCAAATCAAATCAAAGCCAAATCAACGCTTTTTAAAATCTGTTGATTGAGAGAATACGTGCCGATTTGTGAGGAGAAACCTTCGATCAAGAAGAGGAGAGAATTGGGGGGAGAAACCCTAGCTCCGGTGAATCCATCAATGGCGTTTGCTTTATTTATACTAGCTAATTTTGTATTCTTGACAATCTGCTACGGACGGATTTATTTGCTCTCGAGTACGTGGGCGTTTATGATTGGATCAAAGAAGATGAGAACAATGTTGCGGAAGTAGGTGATTCTAATCTTCTGTCGTAGAGAAGTCCAAACGGATAAGTGATCGCTATAATGAATTTATTAAAACGTGCCAAAAAAAAAAAAGGGAAAATATTGAATTTATAAATTCATAAATATAAATATATGAAATATATATTCCATTTAATTTTATTTAAAATCAGCTTAAATTATCTAAATAAAATTATTAAGTCATTTTTTTTTTTAAATAAGATGAAAAAATAATAATAATAATAAATACCAGTTTAAATGAGAAATAAATAAGAAAGTATAGATTTTTCTCCGTTAATCGAATGAGGATAAAAACACGTTTAACGATGAAATGTAACGGGTTAAAACGAATAATATCTGTTAATATTGAGTTTTGACTGTTACAACTATAATCTATAGAAAATGATTTATGTTCTGTTAAGAGGTTAAAGGCTCGAGATACTGAAAAAAAAAAATCATCCCCAATTCCAAGAAGCTAAGGAAAGAATATTTAATTATGCTATTTAAAAATTGACAATTTTCGTTTTATTATTTTTAGAAATAGCAAAACACAATATTTTAATATTAAATTAAAATTACTAAATGACTAAAATACCCAAATATATATATATATACACATAAATATTTATTCTAATTGATTTAAATATATAATTCAAATAATAATTATTGAGATATGTATAAGTATAATATTTTAAAAGATAAAAAAATTAATTAAGAAATAAAATAAAATAAAATAAAAAATGATTCTCTTTTGATTATAAATCATTTTTCTCTTACATTTTTTTTCAGGGTTAATATTGAAAATGGGCTTGATTTGCTTATTTTGTCAAGTTTTCGAGTCTTGAAACCTAATCTCCCAACGTGCTCAAAAACCGAGAGCCATCCAGGGACTGGACACAACTGAAGGGAGCTTGATTCTTGAAAGAGGATAGAAGACAGACCAATCAAACAAAAAGAAGGTAAATTCATTCAATTTTTGTACCGATGCATTAGCTATGTGGTATTAAGCTACACACGCTCCGCCTCTCAAGTTAGAAACAATTGTGCCATTAAAGTTCTAAATGGTCCAATGTTGTGCAACACAACCACCATTAAAGTTCTAAATGGTCCAGAGTTTTATCCAAGAGATTAACCACTTAAACCTAGAGGACAACACGACCACCTGGTCATGGTTGACGACCCCTAGAAAGGTCGACTACAAGATGCTCATTCTTAGCTGCCTGAATAATGAGAAAACAAGAAAACAGTTGAAAGTGACAATGACAAAATAAGAATAATAATAATAAAGATTAAAAAAGAAAAAAAAAATCTTAACCTATAAATAATTAATAATAATAATAAGTGAATTCAAAACACCAATGAAACTATACATAAAATAAAATTTAAAAAAAAAAAAAAAAAAAAAAAAAAAAAAAAAAAACAATAAGACTCAAGCTATTCTATGTGACTCATGAAATAATAGTGTTTCCATAAAGTTTCTTTTTCTTTCTTTTCATATGATTTTTTGTTGAAAAAAAAAAAAAGAAAAAAAAAAGTAAGGATTTGAGCTTCTTCTTCAATGGAGCCCTAAAAATGGGGAACCAAAGACTTTGATGGGGTTTGGACAAGAACTTCATATTATGTGCAATATAAGGAAGGTTGTGTTCTTGTATGATGCCTTCAATTTGTTGTCTGTCTCTAAACTGGTGTTGTTTGGGGCTTCTGCAACTTCTCTTCTCTGTACAATAGTCTTCTCTTGTTTGAGCTATACCCTTGGTACTGGTATATGATGCTGTAAACACATTGCCTCAGAGGCTCTATGTCGAATGCCTCGATGAATTGTAGATCCGTTGCCCTTGATTTCACGCCTGCATATCGCTGGTACTCCTCGAACACTGATGTCAAGCACCAGTTCTGGAACTTCCTCAGGCAACCCACGAGCGACCCTGTTCGATGCTGCAATTACGACATGTCAAAGCTTTATTAATATCCCTTTCGATGACGTTCGGGTTTGCTATTTTCAAAAACTATATTCAAAATCGTTGTTCAGATCACAGCTAGAGAAGGTATTTTCTAACAGGGAGAGGTTTCTATACTGAATGATTGTGGGATTTCACAATCCATCCCCCTTGGGGGACCAGCATCCTCACTGGCACACCACCCAATGTTTGGCTCTGATACCAATGGTAACAACCCAAACACACCGCTAGCAACATCTATTAGGGAGAGGTTTCTACATAGGAACGGTTCGTTCCCTCTCCAACCAATGTGGGATCTCAAGGCTTCCCCTTAAGGTTTTGAAAGGCATCTAATAGGAAAAGGTTTCCACACTGAATGCTTCGTTCCCCTCTTCAACCATGGTCCTCGCTAGCACACCACTCAATGTCTGGCTATGACACCAATGGTAACCGCCCAAGCCCACCACTAGCAGCATCTACTAAGAAGAGGTTTCTACATCCTTATAAGGAATGTTTCATTCCCCTCTCCAACCGATGTGGGATCTCACACAAGACAATATCGTTATCATACAAGGCTAACAAGAAACCACAGTTGTTCCAACATGTGTAGTTTTTCAAATCAATAAATAGCATGGATAGGATTAGGATGATACCTTTCCACGCTTGCAGTGGATCAAAATGGGGTGATTCCTAACATCTGAAAACCAGAGATAGAATTACAAACAAATGAAAAAATGTTCTAAAAGAATCAAACAAACAAGAACAAGGAATCAAACAAACAAAAACTGAAATCCAATGAAAATTCTCAGTACCAATTAGGATTTTTAGGGCGTCCAGAATAGCATCCTTCGGAATCGAAACGAAAGGCTCCTGAAATCCAAGTGATTACTGATGATTATAACCAGCATATACATATGTAACACACAATTAAGCGATTATTAGAACAAGTTTTGCAATTTGAAGGAAAAGGAAAGATCAAACTACCTTTGTCCCTTCAATTTTGAATTGAAAAAGCTTGATGTTATTAGCTCTAAGAAACTCCAAATTCTCCTCTGGGTAGGGTTCAGGACACAAATATCTGATTCAAAAAGGCAATCAAAATCAGAATCAAGAAAGAAAACGATAATCCAAATCATCTCATTCTGTTAAAAGAAACCAATCCAAATTTCTTGTTAACAATTACAACCCTGCAACCAAATTCATCCCCAAAATTCAATACAAATCTTCTTATCCTCTTAATCAATCTAAATTTCTTATGAACAATTCCAACCTCCGTAATTCCATCCCCAATCTTAACTGAACCCATAGAGAATCGCTCAAGAACAAATTCAACCTACCCCCACAGTTGACGCCCAATCTTACTCAAACAAAACGGAGCAAAAAGAAAGAAACAGAGCCAAAAATCACAAAACAAGAAACATCCAGAAGCCAGCCAGAACACTAACGAAACAGAAATCACAAAATCACGCAGAGGAACAACAAAATCAAAAATCACAACCAAGAACACCAGAAGAAAAAGAAAACCCAAATAGGGGATTAAGGATACAAACATGATGGAGCGGAGATTTAGATTCTTGAGGAATGGAAAATTGGAAGGCTGAGGGAAGCCGGATCGGAAAATGCCATCCTCAACACTGGAGAAGTTGGGGGGAGGAACAAGATCGTCGTCGACATCGCCGTCGTTCACTTGGAGCCTCATTTTGCGATGAATTATGGATTGAAGAACAGAAAAAATTGCAGAGAATCGAAAATCTAATGAAACCTGCGAAAACTTGGCGATCAGTAGGAAGCGAAAATCTAATGCATATAAAGGAAAATCTCTGGCATTCGAGACGAGCGCAGGTTGAATGGAACGGAAAACGGAGGCGATAGCGGTTTTTAAGAGAGCAAGATGCTGGCAGATCAAAACGGTGGCGTTTTGCAGATTTGGATTTTTTTTTTTTTTAAAATTCAAATTCCGCTTTTTCAGTTATTGATTTTATTTGGAATTGGATATTTTAATTATGCAAATTTATTATTTTTAAACATAATTTAAAAGATATCTTTCTAAATAAAAAATTTACAAAGAAAAATAATAATTTAAATCTCAAAATTTATTTAATGTAAATTAAATATTATTATTTATTTAGATCTATTTATTAAAATACATTTATTATTGCAAAATTTTCCTATCTTATAAAAAATATTTTTCTCAATTATCTAATTTTAATTTTGAAATAATTTATTTTATATTTTATATTATAAAAAATTTGATTTTCACGTACTTATTTTAAATGTATTTTTTGGTATAAGATTTATAATCTTTTTGAATTATTTGAAAAAAAAAAAGAAATTTAAGATTAAGTTATATTTAATTTGAATTTATTTTCTAAATTAATATCCATAATGAGTTTTATCATTTGATTATTTTCCAAAATTAGAATTTAAATTTAGCTATTTATTTTGTAATCAAAACAAAATTCCAGATTTGTTTTTAAAGAAAAAAATCGTATTTTACTAAATTATTTTATTAAAATATGGTATTGACACATTTGTTTTATTAAAAGATTTTTTTTTTTATTGACAAATATTTAAGTTAAATATTAATAAAATAAATTATTAAATACTCAATTTTATGGATTAAAATGAAATAAATAAAAATTCGGGTATTTATAAATTATTTATTTATTATTTAAAAAAGAAAAGTTGATGGAATTTTTTAAAACTTTAATAATTAAAATTGACGAGGAAAAAATGTGGAGAAGTCGTCAAAAAAAAATCAAAAAAGTGAAAACGACGTGGAATTTATGTCGTTTTGCCCTTTTTTATATTATTAATAATTAAAAATACAATATCATTGGACCATTCCTCTGGTGGTCGTAAGGACAAACTAGTGATTTATGAAATTTTAAAGGGCAAAAAGGTCCGTTTAAACATATTTTCATTATTAGGTCGTAATGTTTTATATTTA